GTCGGGCTCTTTGGTGAAGCGGCTGTCGAGGTCTACTGAGCCGACGAGTTCCTTAGGTTCGCTCTTCGGCGTCGCGGTGGGCGCTACTTTTTTAGTTGTCGGGGCGATGGTACTTAGGCCTTTCAGCGCGGCCTCGAAGCATCTCCGGGAAGCCTCGATGTCTCCATTTAGGGTGACCACGGTCCCCCGCCTTGTGTAGTATTTCATTTTTAGGTGGACGGTGGAGGGCACCGCGGTGAGTTTTGCCATCGTCGTCTTGCCTAGGATACAGTTGTAGAGGGACGGCATTCGATGACCAGGAAGCGGATATTGACCTTCCTGGCCGTTTCCTTCTCACCGAAGGTGACTTTTAACTCCACGTACCCCCACGGTCTCGCGGTCGTCCCGTTGAACCCTTGGAGGTCAGAGCCCACGTAGGGGGACAGGTTGGATTCGTCGAGTTGGAGGGTCGTGAAAAGGTGGGTGTACATGATGTCCACCGAGCTTCTGTTGTCGACCAGGATGCGTCTGACATCGAAGTTTATCATCCGCACTCGTATCAATAGGGGGATGTTTGAGTTGGGGGAGCCCCGGGAAGCTCCTCAAGGTAGAAGGTGATCGGGTTGGATCGGCCACAAAATTTGTCGAGGGTGCTCATATTGCCGGAGTTGCTGGTATTGAGTTCCTCGAACCGATCCTACGGATAGGTTCCTCGGGGATCCTCCGGAGATGACCATGGCCCTCGGAAAATATTCCCATTGACTGGTGGGGCGCACAGGCTCGTCGGGAAGATCAGATCCGTCGGGGAGGCCGAATTCTCTGTGCGCGAACCAATCCTCAGGTCGGCTGACGCAGAGGGCGACCTGTAGACTGTTGTCACCGTTCGAAGAGGGGAGGTCCTCGACTCTCTTGGCCTCGGGGGCATCTTGTCTCGGGGTTTCTCCTCCCCGAGTGTATCTCTTCAGGTGGCCATCCTTGATCAGGATTTCAATCGCGTCCTTGAGGTGGATGCAATCTTTTGTAACGTGCCTGTGGCTTCCATGGAAGCGGCATAACTTTGATTTGTCCACGTTGGGCTTAGGGGGTGTCGGCCTGGAGAAGCGGACACCTCCCTGGACGAACTCCGTTTTGACGCATTCGGCCAGTATGCGCTCGCGGGAAGCGACTAGGGCCGTATACTCCGTGAATCGGCCGGCTGGGCCGCGCAGCTCGCGTTGTTCGCGGGGACGCTCCTCCCATCGGCGATCTTCACCGCTTATATTATTAGTTAAGAGATTGCATGTATGACTATTGTATAACATTGGAGGTTATTGAGAAGCAGGTGATAAATGAATTTAAGTTTATGAGGGATGTTCGCTTTTTCCTATCTTGGTTGCATCATAGATATAGCGATCTAGTGCATCATAGGTATGGCGGTCTAGTGCATCAAGGAATGTATGAGACAGTCGCTAGGGTATTTACGTGCTACATATCTTAGGATGTATTATCTTAAAAGATAAGTCTCATGTATAGATCGATGTGAAGTACATGTGGTCGTTTACTTGCTGTGGAGACCATAAAGTGCATCATGAGTTTTGATCATACCTGATCAGAAAGGAATTAGTAGTTTGTCACGCGTCGTGAGTTGCCGCCTTCATCGGTGTTTTAGAAGAGAAAGGAAGTGTACCTGCAAGATGCTCTGATGCTTGAGTAACGGAACTAGAGACAGAGTAATTATAGAGAAAAGGTGCAGTGAATAAGATACCTGACTCTCTAGTGAAAGAGGGTACTTATAGTGTGCCTCCAACGCAGGGCCAACAGTTACATTGCATTGGGCTGGATTGTAAAGTCCAACACAAGTAACTGTCAGGGCTTACGTGGCATAGTGAACACCGGCATGTGGTCTTCGTGCTAGATCAACTTACCCGTAATCTTCGGAAGGTGGGATGACCATCTCTTTCAAAAGTGGGTAGGTGTCTGATGACGTGTCCCCGCGTGGGGGACACGTGGAGTCGGTGGGAAAAGCGTTTGAGCTCTCCCCGTGCAAGATAATGTTCTGCTCGACTAGTGTGCCTTGTTGAGGCTTGTCCCCGACAAAGAGGATTGGGCCTTGTTGGACATCATCAGCATGATATTGGGTTGGGCCTGCCCATTTGAGGGGCAGCTCTCGGTCTAGTCCAGAACAAATTCGATGACATTTCATTGTTTTTGGTTATCTACGATGGAACACCTTAGTGGCTAGACATTTACCTGAGAGGTGTATGGGCCAGTTTGGATATGTTCATGTCATCCTACAACCAGTCCCTATTATTCCATCTGAGGACAGTCGTAGTTGGTTTGTTTCCCACTTTTTGAGTTCTACATGTGTTATTAGAGATCATGCAGTGCAGATTCAATTTCATGCAATATGTGTGGATAGGTACTTGGAGTGGTGTCTTACTATATCACAGTTTCACATCATTCCACCTAAGTAGTATGGTAATAATGTTTGATGTTCTAATGTTGAACCTTACCTCTAATGACGAACTACCTCCGTCGCCGCCTCCACATGGTGTAAATGACGCTTAACGTCTGCAAATGATAGCAGTCATTATTGATATAACCTCATGGGTTTGAGAAATCGAAAAAGCAAGAATTATAGTTTACCATCTCAAACAACACACATAGCCCGTGGAGGGTGTCTATTTAAACATTTTTTTTTATATTATTAGTATATTGTGTGTAGTACATTTACAAAACATTGTTTATTAAATAACATTGTGACACTTCTATTGATTCATGATGAACATAACATAACATTTAACAAATGATTACATAATTTAAAAAAACAAAAATAAATAATAAAACCTAAACATTGTCAGATGATTCTGAATGTTTCAACAATCTTGATTATATCGTTAACAGACCTAAAAATTATCCCTTAATTAGCCTACAATAATATGTTCTCCACATATCCTTGGAAAGCTAAAACTATACAAGAGATTTCACTCTTTTGAAATACATAGTAAGACATTATTTTAACAACACATAACTCCTATTTATATAACTTTGATTCATTCTAAAACTGAAATAACAGTCAAAACAATCAAAAGCCATACAAAATTATTGACAAGACATTATTTTAACAACACATAACTCCTATTTATATAACTTTGATTCATTCTAAAACTCATAGAACAGTCAGTACAATCAAAAGCCATAGAAAATTATTGACAAAATCTCAACCTTTCAATTTTCACTCTTTTATAACTATCAAGTTAACTCATTGACTAAATTTTTTTTCGAAAATCCATACTAGGCAAATTACCAGATACTTTTATTAAAGCTAAAATCTGACAAACATAGAAACATTTAAAACCAGATTTTTTTTTAATTTAAAAACTAGTCATTTCTTTAACATACCAGAATTTTCATATGAAAAACTGAATTTTTTTGTTCTATACCGTACTATTTAATTTGGTCTACCGAATACATTGTCCAAATTTGTTGATTAAATATATCCAAAATTCTCCTTTTATCTTCTCTAACCTAGACAAAAGCACTACAAGTTTAAGAACATAAACCAGGATAAAACCTCCTTTTATCTTCTCTAACCAAGACAGAAGCACTACAAGTTTAAGAACAGACATAAACTAAGACAGAAGCACTACAAGTTTAAGAACAGACATAAACTAAGACAGAAGCACTACAAGTTTAAGAACAGACATAAACTGCATCCACCTGGTAAACAAAAGCAATGTATGCTTAGAAGAAAGATAACCTGCAGCCAACAGGCTATTTTCTATTTTCTAGGGAGGACAATGCTTAGAATTGACATTACTTTCGTCAGAATGAATTTGAGATGGACATAGATGCTAGGAAAAGAAGCTTTAACTGGAATCAATTTTAAAATTATCAATCATAACAAAGATCCTAACATCATCCTGGCCAACTAAATCAATGTGACCATGATTAAACAGGTTGAACAAAAAAGACAATAGAAACAAGTGCAGCAATTAACAAACATTTGGTGTTCTGCATGGAAGCACTATTATAACAATATAGCGAGTAATACACTGGACTACAAAGTTATTAAAACCATCACGAAGAAAACCAACTATACTAGTAACAGTTTGCTAAAATAAACAAGATGGTGGGCAGAATACCAGTAGAGAGAAGAGAAAGTTTAATGAACAAGTAGAAATTTATTTTACTTTGTCAATCTAAGCCAATGAAGAAAAGAAAAAACAAGTGGGACACCTTAAAATAATCGTAAGCTACTAATGAAGATGTAGCATGCACAAAAATTAATTGAGTATAAGGTTGCCTTCACATACAGTTATGAAGAAAATCTGAACTGCCAAGTGAGATTAGCTAGTCCTCTTAAAAGAACCTAACATTCCATTCTACTATTGAAAACTAGATGTGAGCAAATTTATGTCCGTAACATTTAATAACTAGCAGTCTAGCCTTCACTCAAAGACCCAGACAAGTGAGCAAATATATCATAAGACAACTTAAGCCAATAATCTAAGAAACTTGAAACACAACTGGAAATCCAAATTCCCCTAACGAAACAAGGCTATACAATTTCCTAACAAATGATTATACAACTAGGAAATTAATCTAACAAGTCCAAATTAAATTGCAAATGGTAAATTAACCTAAATACTAAACCCTCACAGACATGTTAATTTGCAACTGGCAAATTAATCTAAACACAGATTATGAATCGTAATCGCCTATGGCATACCACTAATTTCAAATCACATTTACAAAAACGGGTGAAAACGAAATGGTGGATATTCATTTCATCCATTCACCAAAACATATATCACAAAAAATGTCCAAAAAAAACTCTCATTTCAACTTGACTAACACATGCATGATACCCTATCCAATAGTCATGAAATCAAATAATTTAACATAAACTGCGAAACAACATCTCCAAATCTCATAGCAACTCAAAAACAATCCTATAATAGTAGAAATTACAATACCATAAAATAAGTCACAAAACCTAGGGTTTCAATTTTCAAAACTACCGATAGATTGAACTTAATCTATAGATCTTGAACAGTCAAACCAGGAGGAAGAGATTGCTTCAACTTATCAGCTTTGTCAGTATCAAACACACACAGTGTGTACAAATACTTAGAGCAACGAACCTTGAACTTCACCGCATCCTTACTCTTCTTGATTTTCACTGATCTCGCGTCCTTTCTACGCGCCGTCAAAAGAAAATCCTTGATCTCGTGGATCTGCTTCGCCTGCAATTACCATAATTCACAAAATGCAAATAAACAACAGTTGTGGTTACAGATACTCAATATCAATTCATTTTTACGAAGCAAACGTACCATTGATGCGGTTGTTTTGCGAGTTATGGAACAGGTTTCTTCCTCGCCTCCCTAGAAATCGCTGCAAAAATGGTGGTTTGTTCTTATATAAACCCTAATTGTTAACGGGTACCCGTATTTGACCTAAAGCCCAAAATATCATTATCCTCTTTCCATGGCCCAATACACCCCATGTTTATTCAGTATTTTTTTTTAGTGTACTTTTTAATTAATTCTATTATCAACACTTTCTGAAAAATGATTCTATTCAATATTATTATTAGAGTGAAGATGTAATTTATGGAAGAACTTCATCAAGCAATTTAAGGACAAAAAATTATGAGGTATTGTATGACAATGTGCAAAAAGCATAACTGAAGTAGAGTCTAATACTCATATGGATAAATTCATGACACTTAATGAAAAAACATGGAATTATCTCAACAAAATTGATAAAACATCATGAGTAAAGGCATATTTTAGTCATTGGCCTAAGTTGAATAACATCACAAATAATAATAGTGAAGTTTGGAGTAACAAGATTATAAAATATAGGGAAAAGTCTATTTTGAAAATGATGAAAGAGTTGAGGTGTTACTTGACGAGGAGGATGGCATCCCATAAAATAGTCTTAAGCACATGCAAGAGTATATTATTATCTGTTCAATAAAGGAAGATTGGAAAATTAAAGGTAAAGAGCAATAAGTTGACACTTTAGATATCAGGTGATGATCAATATGAGATTTGAAGACATTACACAAGCCTTAGGATGAATTTGGATTTGCGGGCATGTACTTCTCAAATGTGACAATTGATTGACATGCCTTGTATTCATGACATTGCAACTATAGTACATAAGATTGACAAGCCTATGAATTATGTGCATTAGTGGCTCACAATGGAAGATTTGAATGTTACTTATGATCAATATATTTGACTGGTTAATAGCCAAGAATATTGAAATATTATAGAGCATCCTAGGACATAGCCACCAAAGTTGAACATATGGTACTAACATGGACCAATTAAATTTTATAAGGAATTAAATATGGTCTCTCTTTTTTTTTTGTTAGGGGCCAAAATGGGTGTCAATTTGATCCCTTAAAATTTAAAAATAGAAGTGTTGATAATTTTTTTAAAAAATATTGTCTAATTTTTTTCTTTTTTATTTATTTATGAGGATCAAATTGTCCCCAAAAAAGTAATGTAAGGACCTAAATGTCTCTTACTTTTGTAAATAATACATGTGGCATAAATAATACACACGACAGTCCAATCACGATTCAAAAGTTAGTGAAAACTGCAGTTTTTTAGCTGTTTCGAGTTTGCAAGGTAAAGGAGAGGAAAACAATACATTTTCCCGCCAACAACTTATCCAAAAGTTGAAGACGCATAGAGAATCATACACATCGCTATACGGGAAAAAATAATATTTTGATGTAATTCATGATGTTCTTGTTCCTTGCGTTAGCAATTTGGCACCGGTGAAAAAATGAATGTGCTTCCTTAATGAGTCATATTAATCTAACAAGACGAGGTTTCTCAAAAACATTATTTTCACTTCGAAGTATGTCACCTCAAAATCCATTAGGACTCATCATGTGTATTAGTTGGTGTTCTGGACTAGTCAAAGGCCCAATTGACCAATATTCATTTCATCTCAAATCCATTATATGTGAAGAAGATGTTTATCATCAATCATAGTTTGGTTTTGATGAAGAAAAAAGACTTTCTTAAGAAAGATCAAAGAAGAAAAAGAATGATTCAAGTTTCAAGTTTATATCAATATTTGGATATCTATGATAATGAATTATAAACAAAGGTATATGAAATTCAATTCATATACACATCTTAAGTGATCAAGGTCATTTTTGTATTTTAACCATTTAAAATTTGATTCTCACTTTGAAAAAAGTTAAACTTAGTTTTAATACAATCTATTGACACGAATGAACCAATAGATTACCATATGAACATTTTTCATAGCTAAGAAAAAATTTCAAATTTTTCAAAGAACCAATCAATTGACATTAAGGACCAATAGATTATTTCAAAATCACTGTTTAAAAAAAATCAACTTTCTTCGATGGATCAATTAATTGGTGCCTTGAACCCATCGATTGTCCTATGTTATTTTTCCAAAATTTTAACGTTAAAACAAATGAACTAATCAATTGTTGTCTTGAACCAATCGATTGTCCAGTGTTATTTTTCAAAATTTTAACATTGTAAAGAGTGGACCAATATATTGACATCAAGGACCAATCTATTGTTCCTGGAGCTTTTTCATTTTTCTGAAACATTGGCATTCCACTTCATGCTATCTCTTCATGGAAATTTTTCTCAAACCATTGCAATTATTTTTCTGATGAAATATCAAACATCATGATAGGTAAAAGGATGCTTATTTCTTATAAATATAAATCAAATTTTAGGTTTCAAATAAAACTCTTTCAAATGTAGTTTTTAAATCAATTCAAACAAAGTTGTTAAGTGTTCATATATTTAAAAATGAAACTTTGTGCACAAACTTTCACATCGTTTAAACAAGTTTCATTCATATTATTTATGTGCATTTAAGTGTATATCTTTATATTGTGATTAAAGGGAAGAGAAGAGGCAAAACTTTCGTATATCTCGGAATACAAGCAAGTCAAAAGAGATAAAAACTCAACAATGTTAAATATGTATTATTGTGATCATCAAGTTGTTGGTGATTGTTGTAGAATGGTCCTTTGAATTGGTTTTATTCAAATTCCACCATAGTTGTTGATGTTGTTGAAAATCAAAGAAGTGGTGTGCTTCTTTATTATTTTGTTAGAAGATTGTAGGAGAAGTTTTGGTGTGAGACTTGTACAAAAATCTAGCAGTAGTGAAATCTCTCACAGGGTGTGAGAAGGCTGGATGTACCCTTGGTTGATAAGGGGAACTAGTATCATTCTCCATGCTCTTTTAATTTTATGCACTTTAATTTTCTACATTAACCAAAGACACTTGACGTATGTTAGAGGTCTACCACACACATCAAGCCTCCACAATTTTTTTTGACGTTGTGGTGCAATAATAGGCTATGCGTGTGTCTGGTTATTTTCATGATTGCTCTAGATATTTTTTCAAAATCTCATACAAGCGGCCCCCACTCAACACTCACATAGGTGATTCCATCAAGTGTATGTTGCAAATCATACACCATCAATAAATTGTATGAAATTCATTAAAAGTTATGTAAGTTTATCCTCTCAGTATTGCAATTCAGGGTCGCCCTTGGGCCCGGGCAAGGCGGCCCACATTCCAGGGCCTCCAAAAAATAGGTGCCTCAAAATTATTTTTTATAAATTATAAACATAAAATAAATCTATAAATTTTAGTTGTTGAAATTAATTTGTAATATAAGTTAGTTAGTATAGTGGTAAAAAAGCTTTTTTGGTTTTACTCAAAGGTCATTGGTTCAACCATTGGTACATACACTTTTACTATTTAAATATATTATTTTACAAAAAAAAATTGTTCTTATTGAGCCCCATTTTTTAAATTGGACAAGAGCCTCCAAATTCTCAAGACCGGTCCTAACGGAGTGTCTAACACTTTCTCACTTATACCATAGAAAAAGGACGCAAGCAAAAATTAATTAAATAATTTTTTTGGGCTAGTAGAACTAACAAATGACTTGTTCTTACTCATATGAACCTTTTTCATGGAATTTACAATCATAAAGGTTGGGTTCTCATTACTTGTTAAGTTTAATTTTGATCTGACTTTAAATAAATAAAGGATATTACCTCGTCATTTAGTAGCTACTTTATACACAAATGAGGAAGATACACAATTTCTTCCATCAATAAATATTCACTAAGATGTCTCTAAGTCAATCAATGTTAAAAGTTATTTACTAATTCTATAACAATAAATTATGTCTTATCAATTAGACTTACACATGTCTACTTAGATATTTAAGTGATGTCACCTTCAAAAATATATATATATATATATATATATATATATATATATATATATATATATATATATATATATATATATATATATATATATATATATATATATATATATATATATATATATATATATATATATATATATATATATATATATTCTCAATAAAGTATAAATTAAATTCATTAATGAATTTATTATACAAGTCTACTTAAAATACTTTTAAGTGACGTCATCTCATTCATAAATAAAATTAAATATATTCACGTATACATTTAATTTTCTATAAATTAAATTCATGTTACGTTGTATCATGCTCAAGCATGCGAGCAATCTCTTATGCACTCACTATCTATAATAAACTTGATCTCAACAATTAAATTTACATAGATATACTTATACTTCTAACAAGTGACATTGTTCTTTGTCAATAAATATAAATCTATTTTTTAAAAATTATTTTGGTATTCGCAATAGATTTATATATGTCTACTTATATGATTATTAAATGACATCACTATAAAAAATGATAAATATAAATCTATTATTTAAAAATTTATTTTGCAGATCTGCTTGAATGAATTTCAAGCGACATCTTTTCATTGGATTATATATATATATATATATATATATATATATATATATATATATATATATATATATATATATATATATATATATATATATATATATATATATATATATATATATATATATATATATATATATATATATATATATATATATATATATATATATATATATATAGTATTCGTGAAGTGGGTCAGAGACTTCGTCTGCGGTGCTGGAATCCTCGTTGATGTCTCACTCGCTCTATCTTTCTGCACAGTCGGCGCCACTGATCTTTCCGGTTGATCAGAACTTGAAGTGGGGCAGAGACTTCGTCTGCGATGCTGGAATCCAAGGAGGAAGGGGTGTACCTGCAAGACACTCTGATACTAAAGTAAGAATCGGGAGATGAGAAGGCAAGTACAAAGTAAGTGTTTCTTAGGATGATTATTGGATATCTGACCCTCTCAAAGAAGAAGGTTTTTATAATGACCCCAGCGTTT